CCTGGCGCCTGCCATGAAGCAAGGTTTTTAGCGGATGTAATCTGCTAAAAACCTTGTCTCATCAGCACATCTTTTTCTGTCAAGATATCAGTAATATCTTGACAGAAAAAGAAGTGCTGCAGTTAGAGGATGCAAGTTTGTTAATTGCAGTTTGCTATGTTCCATGGTTTTTGAAATTTTTTTTAGGATTTCTGGCTCCCTACAATGATTTGAAAGCTATCCAGACAGCCTATACATTGAGAAAAGTTAGTAAAAATATTGGAAACGCTTTGATTCTCAGCATGGGACGCCATACGTGGTACTTAACTCCGCAACTCTATGTTTTGTCCTTTTGGTATAAAGAAGTTCCTTCTGAAACAAAGCTAAGAATGCTGTTAGCTCTGATTAAGTTTGAAAAGCAAAATGAATTTCAGCGTTGTAAACCATCAAATGTACAAATTGGAGAGACCACAGAGCTACCTGAGTTGATTTCCGAGCAAAGCTACCTTCTCTTCAAACATTTTAAAATATCAAGAGCAAGTATAAAAGAATGACTTAATAATAGTCTTAATACTATAGATGTTTTTAATCATCCTCAGTTGCTAGATTTTATTGCATGGATCGAAAACATATCCGTTGTAAACGATGATGCAGCAAGAAACATAAGCTTATTAAAGATTTTATTTCAGCTACTAGAGATGAAGATCACCTTCAAAATGTATTTTTCGTAGTTAAAAAGTCTAGAAAAAACTTAACTAAGAGTATGACTAAAAAAGAGCCTGGGAACTGTTCAAAAAGCTGTATTTTTTGAGAAATGTTTCACCGCAATAAAATCTTAAATTTGCTAATAAATATTAGTTTTCATGTATTTTTTTTTATATTTTCATATTTATAATTTTACAATTTCATTGGTGACTATTTGAGTATGTCTTCTATTTACATTTTAGTAACAAAAGAACGGTAGAGCTCTTCTCCAAACTTTCTATGATGAACTAATTCATCTGCTACTTCTTTTGATATGATAGCTTAGAACACAAGATCAAAAACATCTGACTTTTGATGAAGTTGATACCAAAATGTATCAAATGGTCGAAAATTTTATTTACATTGGATGAAAATCCTTCATTTGTAGATTCAGTTGAAAATAACAGCATTTCCTATACCCTATTTGTTATTTATAATACTAATAAATAGTCATATTTTGAAATTCCAAGGCATGAAAATCAGTCCATCAACTTCTTATTACGGGTTTCTATATGCCCACGAATTCCAAGGCTAATTTAAAAAAAATGTTTTTGTGACATTTTTAAAATCATTTTCCGTTTTTGAACAATTTGACATTTGCTTATTGGTTTTTGCTGTTTTTACAATAATTTGTGAAATTTTATTAAAACATTAACCAATGGATTTTTTTAGTATCACTCATCTTAGCAAAGAGGGATGTTGTCCTAGTATCACTCATCTTAGCAAAGAGGGATGTTGTCCTAGTATCACTCATCTTAGCAAAGAGGGATGTTGTCCTAGTATCACTCATCTTAGCAAAGAGGGATGAGGGATATTGTCCTAGTATCACTCATCTTAGCAAAGAGGGATATTGTCCTAGTATCACTCATCTTAGCAAAGAGGGATGTTGTCCTAGTATCACTCATCTTAGCAAAGAGGGATGTTGTCCTAGTATCACTCATCTTAGCAAAGAGGGATGTTGTCCTAGTATCACTCATCTTAGCAAAGAGGGGTGTTGTCCTAGTATCACTCATCTTAGCAAAGAGGGATGTTGGAGTATCAAAACCATTATACCGTTAAATTAACGTCGAACTTCCATTTTTTCTGCTTCAGACTTCTCTTTGAATTATTTTTTCTGCCTCAAAAATTATAGCACGGTCATTGTGGTTGTTTTTAAAAGTATCTAGGGCCATTGTTTGGTATTTGTTAGAGCAATGTTGCTGGTGCTTTCTTAGGCACTGAGGTTTTGAAAAAAATAAATTCTAGCACGTTATCTTGTAGAAGCGTTTTTAAGTAACATATATAACTACCTTAAATTTAGTTCCCAATCATGTTATTATTACTTGATTGTATCTATTTTTACTATGTACTCATCTATTTTTAAGTTTGAATGGACAAATGATTTCTACATCTGAAAAGAGAGCTTATGGAGAAAACCAGCATGCCAATTTTTATTAAAGACTTTAGAAATGTGGAGAGCAATAGCCTTAACTTTTCCAAATCCACCTAGTTACTAGTTTCCGATAAACCTATCGGTTATTAACGTTAACAAATCAGCAGTATACTGCTTATTTGTTAACCGAAATAACCGATAGGTTATCATTCCGTAGATAATGAAAAGATCAAAATACATATGATCAGAAAGTAAGTTCCTTGATTTAGGATAAGAAGTTAATTATTTGTAAATAAAAACTCAAAAAGTTTTCTTATGATAGGAAGAAAACTTATAGGACGTAGACAAGTCAGATTGCTTTAGGAGCTTTAAGAGCGCCTACACAAGATCTCCATAATAAATTTTCATTAATAAGCAACACCTACGAAGATTACAAATGTTTGTTTAATGTTTGATTTTTTAAATTTATTTTCAGATCAGGTAACTTTAGAAATAATTTTTTTTCGAACTTTTTTGTGACACACGACGCATTTTGTCTAATCAAAATTAAGTTTTCTTTTTTTGTTGTTGTTGTTGTTCGTCCTCCGTTTGTATTTAATATTTAATATCTGAAACAGCTATAACAAGTCGAGGTTAAATCTATAATAGCTTTTGAAACTCCCAAAGCATTTTTCTAAGCAATACGAATGTTTATCGAAAATTGATCAAAGCGTAAAAGATTATAATATTTTCGCAATTTTTTGGAAAAAAATTGCAAAAATATTATAATTTTTTATAGCTATTAACACATTATTTTAAAAAAAAAAAAAAAGAAATTAAAGATTAAACACGTCGTTAATTTTTTTTTAATATAACCTGATCATTAAAAGTTATTAGTGAAGTTAAAATTCAATTTATTTTTAGAAACTGTTGTTTTTTTTCTTGAAGTAATCGGCTTGACAACATGATGACTAACTTATTAATAAAGTTACTTAAAAGACAGCTTTAATTTGGATCTTAAATTTACAAATATGTTTACGAGATCATTCAAAAGAACGTTTTGTAAACTGGAATTGTAGATGTATATAATAGGAATCCATGCGTGAATTTTACGATTCATTATAACTAATGATCTAAAAGTTAAATGATGATCTAAAATTTAAATGATGATCTAAAAGTTGAAACTTTTTTCTAAATCTGGAGAATTTTAGTTCAAAATAAAAATAAAGTATTAAAAATAAAGTATTAAAAATAAAGTATTAAAAATAAAGTATTAAAAATAAAGTATTAAAAATAAAGTATTAAAAATAAAGTATTAAAAATAAAGAATTAGAAAAATTTACTATTTAACTTTAAATAAATTTTGCATCATAGAGCACAATTTAATAATAATTTTTTTTATTCAACTAAACAGTTTTTTTATGAAAATTTAAGTTATATATTTTGAATGTGTTTAATAATTATTAATAATAATATAAATAAACTTTATTTTTTAAATTTATGAATTAAAATTTATTTATATTATATTTTTAAACAGAGGTAAGGTATTTAATAAATATGTTAAACTTTAAAATATTTATAAATTTTTTATACTAATATAAAATCATAAAAAAAATGAATTAATATGAAAAAAAGATTTTTTTATGTTAGTTCACCTCCCCAAGGCCGTTAAGAAGACCCCTGCAGTCGAGTAGGCTACTATAGTTCTCAGTAAGCAGAGGACGTTTATAAAACGTTTAAAAAACGTTAATAATCGTTTTATAAAGTTTTTTAAACGTTTTAAAAACGTCCTGTGCTTACTGGGTTATGGCTACTACCCTCTCTCAACTCTTTAACTCCGAAACACTTATCTTGACAAACAAGGCTGCTGCGCAGAGAAACAAGTTGAGCGCGATACTACCAAGAAACGTGGTGGGGATCGAGCTCGGAACCTCTTACTTATAAGGCGAGTGCTCTACCACTACGTCACTATCGCATTACCCACAAATACCTACAAATACTCCAACTTTTACACAACAATAATTCTCTTTATAAAGAAAGATACTCCATAATAGACCTTGCATAATTAACATAAATTAGAATTTTTTTTGTGTGAAATATTTGAGTTCAATTAAAAAGTCACAGGAAGTAGATGTAAAATCTATAACAATATAGAGGTTAATTAAAAATAGTTAAAGACATTGTTTCGGAAATTACAAATGGTATTCATTTATGATATATATCTAAACAATTGTGGTAAAAAAAAGTGAGTGAAAAATAACTAAAAATATTTATCAATAATGAGATCAAAAAGAAAAGTTTGAAAAAGTTTTTATTTACAGTTCATCCTTCCCATTCCCAGATAATAGAGAAATTTGTCCTTCTTGAAAACAGTTTTATGCTAACTTACAAGTTTTATATTTGAAATGTTTTACATTTAAAAAGATGCGCAGGCATATTGTTTTGTTTTTGTTATTGGATAAAAATTAAATTAAACCATAAATAAACTTTATTTTTTTCTCTGCATAATAGTTAATATCTTTCAGATATTGCACAAACCTAATATTTTTGAATATTTTAATTTTTTCATATTTTTATTTGCCGAAAACTAAAAATCTTTTTTTTGTAACTAAAAATTTTTTTTTGTTACATTAATTTAAGTTATTATATATTAATTTTTTTTTAATTATGTCATAAATAACTCTGATTTTTACAAACATACCTTATCTTAATGGATTATTAGCAAAATTTGTATCTACAAACAAATGTAGGCAACTAATATAGTCAGTAAATACTTTCAATTTTTTTATGTTATAGTCTTTATGGTACAAAATACTTTTATTTTCAATAATCTCATTAATAAAACATTTACTTTAAGTTACTCTGTACTCAACTTAAAACATAAAATCAACACAGTATTTTTTTTTTAAATATTTGATATACATACCAGATGGAAATAAAAAGCAGCCATAAAAAAAATTCATTTCAAATATACTTTGAAACCAAGTATAAGTGTTGAACCTTTTATATTCTGTTAAAAAACATCGTTAGAACAAATGATAGCTTTAACAAACAAAAAAGTATTATTAAAAGAAGTCAAAACGGCCTTCACGCAATAGTAAATTATTAATATTTAGAAACATATATTAAACAAAATATTATTCATAATTAAACATTGATATTATCATTTTGAACACGTTTTTAACATAATTGTATGTATTTAAATAAGTAATGTACTTAACTATATTCGTTAAAGAAATGATCCGATTAATATTAAGAAAAAAATATCTAATTATCTAATCATCATTAAAAAAAAATGTGTCTTTAAATAAAAAAATATGTATTTATGTTTCTAATATTGTTATAGATAAAGTTATAATATCAAAAGTTATCATTATTATATAGCAGTTTAAACGTCTAAAAAATATAATGAAATTTTTGTTGAATCTAGTGACGAGATAAGTATTACAATGGTTTGAATGGAGAAAAAATTTCATTTATAGTTACCACATGCGCGGATTACTGCTGATTTAGTATTGATTCAATACTAGTTATAAATGTTGATAAAGTGAACGGCGACTTTTTATCACTAGTTGTGCTTTGTCAACAAATCACCACTCAATGAATGGTTTTAGATTTTTGATATAAAATTCTTACTTTGCCATTACATTCCTTTATAATGTTATACACTTTTGCAAAAGTTTGACAATAGCATCATTTTTTTTTAATCGCAACTGGAGTAAACCGATCTTTTAATCACAACTAAAAACTGTTTTTTAGTGTTTACTCCTGGTAAAGGAGGCCTATTTTAGTAATATTTTTTTTTTAATTCAAAGTTTATTAATGACTTTGAATTTACACGATTCTCAAATTCATACCAACAATTAAAAATTCTTACCTAATACCCAGCAAACAATAGACGTCTTTTAGACCGTCTAAAATTGGTCTAATTTGTATCTATTGCCGATACGTATATTTTAGACGTATATTAGAGATCAAAAAGACGTCTGATTCTAGAGATACTATTTTTGCTCTGTTTTAGATGCATATTAGATGCATAAAATAGATCGTGCATAGATAATTTTTTTTTCATCTAAACTTAGATGTCTATAAGATGTCTTATATGAAAAATACAAGAAAAAAATATCAACTAATTTTACGGAGCGACAATTATAAATGACCGCCATTTAAAAACCATCCTTAAACTTATTACGAAAAAAGCATGAAGATTTTAACCTATGGAAAACATTAATGATTATTTCTTTTGATAAATTTTAAATAATAAAATAACAACAATATTACAAAATTAATATTTTCAAGTTGATATTTTTATTTCTAGAATAAAAGATAATGTAATTAATATATATATATATATATATATATATATATATATATATATATATATATATATATATATATATATATATATATATATATATATATATATATATATATATATATATATATATATATTAGGTATGCGGAAATAGCCGTTTTACGGAATCGAATTTTGTGCTAAAATTCTGTGCCACGTTTTTTGAATTTTTTTTTGAGGTAGCGTCAGACAAACGTTTTGTTGTGTTGTTTCTTTTTAGAAAAGTATATTAACATAGATTATTTTTGAAAAGAAGAGACTTAGATCTATATTTTTATTAATCAATTATGTATGGATGATTTACTTTTTGTTGACTTTATAGATATTGAAAATTTACTTGATGTTGTCACGTGAAGTTTGTATTGATGGAATGCTGAGACATTTTGCAAAACTACTGAGACATTTTTTTACATCCTTTATATATTCACCTGCCAAATTTCAAGAAAAAATAATATGTAGCAGATAATTTTAAAAGTGTAGCAGTTTTGGTACCTAAATTTTGTTTTCACAAATCGCAGTGGCTACGGGTACGTCTAGACGTATTCCTAACAAAATAAGTAAAAGATACGTCCAAACTTTCGGACGCGGTAGGAAGGTTTAGACGTATTCTTAAAAAAATAAGTTAAAGATACGTCTAAACTTCGGACGCGGTAGGAAGATTTAGACGTGCTCCTAAAAAAATAAGTTAAAGATACGTCTAAACTTCGGACGCGGTAGGAAGGTTTAGACGTATTCCTTACTTTAGATATGTCTTTCTTTTTTAATGTATAAAGTGTATAAATTATAACAAATTTTATTATAAAGTATTATTACTATCAAAAATTATTATAATGTAATGAGTATAAATGGTATAAATTATATAAATATAAAATTTATATAATTCGGGTCTGGATTTCACAAAAAACACGAAACCTGGATTTTCTAACTGGAAAAAAGTTTTGACTAAAAAAGTTTCGGACGCAGTAGGAAAGTTTATACGTATTCCTAACAAAAAAGTTAAAACTTTAAAACGATACGTCCAAACTTTCAAATGTACAGAAAAAATTAGACGAATTCCTAACTAAATAAAGATCAAGGTACGTCAAAACGTACCTTGATCTTTATTTAGTTTTTATCAAGGAACCGTAGCGTAGTAGGCAGTCGTAGCGTAGTAGTCTAGCATTCGAACTCTGACCACAAAGTCTTGGGTTTGTTTCCCGGGTCGACACGAAAACATTTTAAGATTGGAAACAGATAGCCAATCTATTAAATGCTATTTTCCATGGGTTGGTGATCTGTGAAAAGACCATTAGGACTTAAGAATATTAATAGTAATAACAATAATAATAATGATAATAATAAAAAACCTTAAGCTAATTTAAGAAGAATTAAGAAAAACATTTGGCAATGGATGGATAAATACTGTATCCATACTACCTTTAATAAATAGACATTAATAAAAATATTAAATGGCTATCATGTTGCTCCTTTGTTAGAAAAACGCGATGATTTTTCTGCACTGTTTCCTTAAACCATATAGGAGCAATGCAATTTTCAGAGAACATTTTCTTCTAACTGCAAACATGTGTTTGCATGGCAAACCCATCGACTTTGTAAATAAACAATCGCAGGTGTTCTCAGATCGTGTTTCACTTTTTCCAGAAGTTTGTATAATTTCATTTGCCAAGTCCCCATCTATGCTGACAGATTCATCAAGCTGAGATTTAACAAAAGAAAAAGCAAACGGCGTTAGTATATCTTTATAATCTCGTTCATAATGAAAACTTGCAACTGCACTAACAGGAACTTGTTCTGTACTAGTTATATATTTATGGTCTCTTTCTTGTCGCATGCAGGCTATAACAGTAAGCAAATCTTTGAAAAATATAGGTAAAGGACTCAACAAAAAAACAACAGCTTTAATTCTTTGATTGATAGATTTAAGATAATTAGTAGTGCATTCTCCAAGTTATATTTTGTTGTTGCCAACAACGCACCCACTCGAACCTACAAGCATGCCAATTAATTTCAACATATTTAACAATAGGTGGTGGCATAACTTTGTGAAACTCATCACGCAACTTCTCATACTCTTTCTCAGTAGTTGCATATGTCATTTTTTGTAGAGCTTTTAAAGCAACCAGTCTTTGAGCTTCAGATATATTCATTTTTGATGTTGTTATTTCTCTGCTCATACAACGCAAAACATGAAATATACACAACAATAAATTAATTTGTGGAAATGCATGCTTAATGCATTCACGCTCTGTCATGTCTTTGTCAGTAAAAACAGATGATATCTTACTCCAGTTTATATTTTTTTCCTTGAATATTTCAAACATAGCTGAAAGTGAAACACAGTCTTCTGATGCAGTTAAAAATATAGCTGCAATTTCACTTTCGCCATTTGGTCCGACTACAAGAAGAATGTATAAAGGCATTCTCAAATTAGTAAGTTTATAAGTTGCATCAACCAAAAGTAACTCTGGATATAAACTAAAAAATCGCTTCATTTCATAGTCTTGAAAAAATATTCCAGTTACAATACCATTTCATCTGTTCTTAGTTCAAGATCTGGTCCTAATAGAAAAGAAGTTATATATTCAACAGATTTGTGTTTGACAAAGAGAAACAGGGCAGGAGAGGCTCTGTGGCAATAGGGAATGCAAATTTATTAGGAGAACAAACTCTGGTACATAATCCCTACTTAAATATGGATATGAACATACTCTTCAGAAAGTTTCTTTGACAAGAGCAAGCTATTGCCTTTATATATTTGCATATCAAGCTATTGGAATTTCCTGAATTTGAATAAATAGTTCTATAAGATTATTAATTTCTTACTGTGCTGGGTCTGGATTCACAAAACATAGGCCTAGCATCATGTTGCCTTATCCTAGCAACACGGCCATGCTATATTTGTCTATGTTAATAAATCTGATAAACTATAGTACTAAAGTGTAATGATTTAACTTGATAAACATCTATACAAAAAAATATAGTTGAAATTCATTTAAAAATACAAGAGATAAGTCTGTAAAAGTAAGTTTAAATATAAATTTTTAGTTTGATACACATTTTATTTTAAGTATACAGTTTCATTGAAGCAGTATACTCCCATATTATTGAATTTGACATTATTTCTTGAGTAGAGGTAAAAATAGTCAAAACCTGAAACAAAAGAAAATAATTACTCAATACTTAATAAATTATTACACAAACTCTCAATAACATAATGATTAAGAGTACAAAATTATTATGTAACGCCACAAAAAAACAAAGTTACTGTTACCTAAATAATGTTGATTATAATTTTTTTACTAACTGATGACTAATGATCAATAAAGTAAATTTCAATTCATAAAAATTTACTTAATTAAAACCATATTTCAACAGTAGGAATACTAAACTAACGTCATGTCGTAGTATAGAATGTCAAAGTGGAACTAGAAAAATTTAAAAAAAGAATATAATTAAAAGTTGCTTAAACATGCAAATAAATCATAATAAAAGCTAATAAAAATGCTTTTATATAAAAAATTAAATCAAAACTTTTTTTAGTCGAAATCATTATAAGTTTAATTTATTCTAATTATTATATTATTTAACTTGCTTCATAAGCTTATCTTATATTAAGAGCAAAACGTTGTTGAAGATAAAAGATGGAAAAGTGTTTTTAATAATTTATCACTGCTCTGTTCTTTAAGAAGTATTATTAAGAGTATTAAGAAAATACTTTGAATATCCAATGTAACACAATTATTACACACTATAACACTGACAAAAGACTATAACAATAACACTGCTATAGTTCTGCACTATAACACAGCTTAAATACAAAAAGCATTTATAGAATGTTCTTCTAAACAGTCCATCAAAATATGTACAGAGATTAATTATAATGAATAATTATAATTTTATTAACAAAAAAAAAATTATATGTATTATAATAGTATTACATTATATATTATTATTATAATATTATTATATATATAATATTATTATATTTATATATAATTATAGTTTATATATAAATATATTAGTTATATGTATATATACATTTATATGTATGTAATTAAATACATTTATAACAAAAAAAGAGAATATATGTACTTCTCAATTTCCCCAAAAAACTTATTTTTAACTTATTAATTTTTAAACGTACATTTAAAGCACCGCTTAAAAAGAAACAGCAGTGCTGTCAAAATGAAACCAATATTTGTTTCCTTGTTGCATATAACTTGTTTAAAAAATATATATATTTATACTAACCATTATATTCTTGAAAGACTGCAAATAGTGATTTTATATCTGTGGTACCTTTCTATTTTGCAGCTAAGTTATGAAGATCTTTTAGAGTAACTTTTTTACCTAAAAGAAAAAGTAACATTATAATAAGGTATGCTATCGGAAAAATCTGCCCACCTTTTGCGGAGTGGTAAAGCTAGTAAACGGTCGTTTTTTGAATTTTTTTTTTTTGTGTGTGGTAGTGTTTGTATAATAGAACATTTTGGCAGAAAAAAATAATTAAAAATATTATTTAGTTTCAAAATCAACCGAGCAAACTAAACAAAGATTTTTGATTGTGGACAAACACTTTAAAAATCCAACTTTATCGAATAGAAAGTTGGCGAAATCATTAAAAATATCAAGAAGAACTGTAGATACTGTGCTTAAACGGTTTACAGAACAGAAAACTATTCAGAGAAAACAAGGTCGAAAAAAGCGCACAGCAAATCCTAGAGCTCTGGAACTGTTGAAGACTTCATTGGAAGAACATCCTGATTGGTCTGATAGATTTCGAGGGAAAAAGCTGAAGGTTCCCAATTTTTTTTCTTCATAAATGGCGACAGAGACTTAGATATCAAAGTTTTAAAGTAGTTAAAATGCCAAATCGCAATGATAAACAAAATTCAACCGCAAAGAGTCGAGCTCCAAAGTTGTATTACAACTTGTTAACAAAACATAATGGATGCATTTTGATGGCTGACGAAACTTATGTTAAAATGGATTTTAAACATATTCCTGGGCATTGCTACTATGCTTTTAAAATAAGAGGAAACTTGAGTGATAAATACAAGTATGTAATGACTGATAAATTTTCGAAAAAATTGATGATTTGGCAGGCACTTTGCTCTTGCGGCAAAAAATCGCTAATTCATGTTTGTTTGGGCACAATGAAAACTTCGGAATACGTGAAATGTTGTCTTTCTTGTATAAAACGACTAATTAAAGCTCATAGAAGTTCTTTAGTATTGTTTTGGCCTGATTTAGCCGCAATACATTACTCAAAAGATGCTCAAAAGTTTAACGATGATAATGGAGTGATGTTGGTTCCGAAAAAGATGAATCCTCCTAACTGCCCCAAATTACCTCATATTGAAAAATATTGGGCCATCATAAAACAGAAATTGAAATTAAGTAAAAAAAAAATTAAAACTTATTTTTTTTGGTTTTTTCCCTATTAATATGTAATCTTTACAGTCTTAATTTTTCAGAAATATATTGATTTAAATACATTTAAGCTTTCTTACTTCTTTTTTGATCAAGAAAGGTGGGCAGATTTTTTCGATAGCCTTAAGTTAAATGTAGAGAGTAAACATAAGATTAGTATGAATTCCAATGCAACTTATATAAAAAAGTGTTTAAACAAACCTGTTTCCTTCATAACTTGATCTTTAATAAGCCACTTGCTTCCGTGCATACTCAAAAGACGGCAAACATCTTCTTTTTCATCGGAATTTAATTTTCTTCTTTTTGGCAGATTGTTAAATAATTCCTACAAGTTAAAAAATTGTAAAATATCTAATATATAAACTGTTTGTACCCTAATCATTTAGTAATTTACAAAATGATACACAGTGAACACACACACAAAATTCAAGAGAAAATATATTTTGGGTAAAAATCAAATTTAATAGCCAAACTTTATAAAACATTTTAAAGCGCTGATTATATATATATATATATATATATATATATATATATATATATATATATATATATATATATATATATATATATATATATATATATATATATATATATATATATATATATATATATATATATATATATTCTTTGAATGTCATTTTCTTGTTATACATTAAAATATGGTTAGAATTCAATAAATACGGCTGCGTATAAACTTTTTTTAAATATATATATATATTTTCTTTAATATATAATTATTTCGATATTTCGCTGATCTATTGTGATCAGCGTCATCATTTGATAAAAAACTCATCACGCAACTTCTCATACTCTTTCATAAATTGGGTAATCTTTTTCTGGTTTGTGAGCTTTAATCATTTCGTAAATCCTTGGTGGGTTACAATCTGATGGATACATTTTAAATTATGTATTTGTGTCTAGTTTACCTTCTTTTCTTCATTTGCACTATTGTCTTTGAAATTTAGTAGTCAATGTGGATGTTGGATCATAATCAATAATTTTGCTATTTTTTATTTGTTCTTCTAATTTGAGAGATGCATCTTTTTGATTTAATAATGCGGAGCCTGTGCCAAGAGATGTTTTGCAAAATACTTAGCAGAGAATAAACTCCACGTAGCAAATCAAAAATAATTCAAACTAAGATAAAATACTGACTTTGTCAACGACATGGTTGTGCTCCAATACCAACTTTTGTATGCATAATTGTGAATCATTTTCGGATACATTTATCCAGATTCCATATGGGCAATCTATCTGAAATGTGCTATCAATAAAAAAAAAATATATATATATATATATTACAGTAATTTATTAAATTTCAGTTAACTGTGAATAACTTATGATATGTAATGCCATAGATGTCATGATATGTTTATATTATTTATATACCACCACTTGTATGCATTAAATTCTATTAAATTTTCATGTAAAAGTTATCAAATTTTTACATAAAATGTTTCTAGTTGCTTGCTCTTATAGTCAAGCAGATGCTTGACTATATATAACAAATTGACGATATATAAACAAATATTCTACAAATAGAGTGCTCAATGTTCTTAAAGAACAGAGCAATAATAAATTAGTAAAAACATTTATCTAATATTTTTCTTCAACAACTTGTGTCTAAAAACTAAAATATTAGGGTTTGATTTTATTTTATTGTCTTTTTTGAGTTCTTTTTGGAAATGGTTATTTATATCCCAAAACTTTATTGTTTTAATCAAATGTAGTAAATCATTTGCAAAGTTTTCTAGGTTGGGAATAAATGGTGGGGTGTTTTTGGTTTTAAATCCAAAATTTTCTTTTTGGTTATTTTCAATTAAAGGGTTTTTATTGGTTTCAGATTTAAAAAAAAAATGGGCTTTCCAACAAATTCTTTTAATCAAGTGTTCTATTTTTTCAATTAAGGAAATAGTATAACTTTTTTTTGTCTGGGATATTTTTTAGGGAATAATTAAAATTATTAGTTTCCATGTATATGTTATGCAAGATACAATTAAGAGTGCTCAACAAGTGTAAACTTGGAGGTTAATAAATAAATTATATTAGTGTATTCTACAAATAGAGTGCTCAATGTTCTTAAAGAACAGAGCAATAATAAATTAGTAAAAACACTTATCTAATATTTTTCTTCAACAACTTGTTTCACCATCAGAGGGCTCATCAGAAAGGCTTCTTGATGGTGAAACAAGTTGTTAAAGAAAAATATTAGATAAGTGTTTTTACTAATTTATACATACATATACATACATATATATATATATATATATATATATATATATATATATATATATATATATATATATATATATATATATATATATATATATATATATATATATATATATATATGCTTAATTCTGGTTGGTTGGTAAATATCTTAATTGGTAGCATATATCGTCCACCAGATGCTACAGAATTGACAAATCAAAAAATAAATAAAATAATAAATATAGCTAAAAAAAGTGTTGATTGCAACAAATATTCAGGTCTACTCTTAGCCGGAGACCTAAATTACCCAAATATAAAATGGAATGAGAATGATGAGAATATCCAAACAGTGTTAAAAAATGATAGACAAGCACAAATTTTTTTTAGACAATTTAAATGATAACTTTTTGACTCAAAATGTCACAAAACCAACCTTTAAATCAGAGACACTGTCAGAAGGCAATACCTTAGATTTTATTTAAACCGATGCACCAGAGCGTATTTCGATCATAGGCTATAATCCTCCGTTAAGCAATTTAAATAATGCACATCAGATATTGTATTAGAATTACATCTTAAAAAAACCAACAACATCAAAATCTTCCTATGGGAAATCAAAGTTTAACTACAAAGCCGGAAATTATCAAGAAATGAACAATTCATTCCATAGTATAAGATGGCCACATATTTTTTCTAATAAAAACGTTGATGAATGCTACAAAATTTTTGTAAATAAATATCAAGAATTATCTGACTGTTATATACCTAAAAAAGTGCATAAACACATAGCTTTAAAACCATATATTAACAAACAAATTAAGACTGAAATCAGACATAAAACAACCTTATGGAACAAATTAATATCAAATAAATCCAAATCACCCATTTTGGTTCAGCAATACAAAATACAAAATAAATTAGTTAAAAACATGGTGAGGTTAAAACGTATTGAATATGAAAAAAAAATCAGTGAAACATCAAAAATAAATCCCAAGTTATTTTATAGTTATGTAAATTCTAACAAAAAAATTAAAGGAGGAATAGCTTCAATGTCTAATGAATATAATAACATTGTAACAAATAGAGAATCTATAGCAAATATTTTAAACAATAGTTTCAATTCAGTTTGTGTTAACGAAGATAAACATAACATACCAAATATACCGCAGAAGACTGAAATTATTCTAGAAGAAGATATAAATAATAAAATAACTTGCCATACTATTAAAAAAAAATTAAAAAAACTAGATGTTTACAAAGCTATCGGAGTAGATGGGATAAGCCCATATGTTTTAAATAAATGTCATAGTACTCTCTGTGAACCATTACATTTAATATATATAAAATCGTTGACTGAGAAAAAATTACCTGAACTCTGGAAATTAGCAAATGTAACACCAATTTTTAAGGTAATACGAACATTGCATCTAATTACAGGCCAATCTCATTGACTTCTATCCCATGTAAAGTTTTGGAATCACTCATTAGAGATGAAATTATGGATTATCTAATAAATAACAGCTTATTAAATGAAAATCAGCATGGGTTCAGAAAAAATAAAAGCTGCACAACAAACCTATTGGAAACTCTTGATATCATAACAGATGCACTAGAAATGGCCACTCAGTTGATATGTTGTATCTAGACTTTCGAAAAGTACCAATCATATGGTATTGGTAACGTTGCATATTATTAATATGCAGAAGACATAACAATATAAATATCTATCACTGTAAGGCTGCTCTAAATGGGGATAACAGTACTAACAGTACTAAAAAGAGTCAAACTAAGAAAAAAGTTATTATGTCAAACTATGAAAAAAGTTGACTGAAATTAGTATGAAAAATAAAAAGAGTCATTATGTAAGTTAGACTGACAAAAGGATAATCTAAAGATTAGCATAGTTATTCATACAATTACAGAGTAAGCAAAAAATACAGTGTATGCATAAAATGTGTGAAGAAACAATATAGTTCATAGTTCTTAATCGCTTCTTCTAATTCTTTTAAAGAGTTAAAACTATCACCAACATTCAAAGTCATTGTTAACGCAAATCTTTGATAAAATCGAAACAATTATGCTCCTCCGCGTCCAAAAATTTGGACGTATCTTTAACTTATTTTGTTAGGAATACGTCTAGACGTACCCGCAGCCACTGCGTTCACAAATTCGCGATGGGTGTTGCTGTGGTTGGGGGAGAAAGTCGGAATCTACATACTATGTACCAACAATAACAACAATAACAGTAATAATAATACTGTCATTATTATTGTTGTCGTTATTTTAATAATTTCATTGTTTTATTTTTATTATTCAATCATAAGTTATGTATATAATATAAATACACTATATTATGGTTTATTCTTTAATATTCTTTTAGATAAAATAATATTCTTTTATATTCTATTATATTCTTAATATATTCTTTCATATTCTTTTAGATAAATTTTTAGATAAATATTCCATTTTTGTTAGAGAAAATTACGCAGTATTTTAGTGTGGTTATTAATAACGTACCCCATCACAGTACTGTTGAGCAAATGGCTCATGAATTAAGAAGTATATTAAAATTACAAGCAGCAGAATGGGCTATCAATAATTCTCAGCTTACGTAGTAAGTGAGAATTATTGATAGCCCACCTTATGCCCAAAGATAAATGCCTTGTTATTGCTCTGGATCAATTCCCATGAGAAACAGCTGATGATTACATTTTTGGGCATTACATTGTACTGATTACATTGTATTGATTACATTGTAGGGCAATAGATCATCTAGCTTTTATTTATTCAAATTTTCATTTATGTAATTATGATGAGTGTTGTTAATTGAGTATTGAAAATATTTCCATCACAATATCAGACAGAGTTGCAGTTAACAATCTAACCATAAGCAAAGTTAGTGCAACTTGGGGTAAAACTCTGAATTAATTAAATTTTTATTTGCACCCTCTTGATGCAATTGCTACTGAATGTCGCTCAGCATTGAAGTGTCTAGAGACAGAAAAGTTGAATTATTAGGCAATGATTATGTAGCTGTCAAAATTGATTTAGCTATGAATAAGATGAGGTTTAAAGACGGTGAAAGCAATCCAGAGAGATTTGTTACTTTTTAAGACCACAAAAAACTACCTAGGTGTATCATCCCTAGATATCGAGGAAACCGTCTTCATATTTTCTTTTTAATACTTGTCATATATTTATTAAACACTATGCTAATTTTCTAAATTTTCTGATCACTAGAACAGTCAAATGTGGCAGTTTGCAAGCAGCTCTGCCAGAAGCATTTTGTAATGCTACCACTTTAAAAAAAATGTGTGTGCTTGGTGTATTTGGGAACTGCTCAGTGGTCTGTGGATGACAAAGTTTTATGTATCAGCTGAGGATGCAAATTTTGATCATCTTGCCGGTATTCAGATTGTAAGAAACATTTTGGAAACAGTTAATGTTTGCAAATCTAATCCGGCTGCACTGTTTTGCAGAGCAACAGATTTTTTGGGGGAAATGCTTCCCTCAAACGTTTTTGAACCAATAACATATTAATGCTGCATTGATGACCAGGTTATTAACATGACTTCAGCTTGTCTTAATGCAGTAAAGGATGTATTGATTAGACAATGTAAAAGGTACTTCTCCTTTTTCATTACAGAGACACTTAAGCAGGAAACAGCTAGTGCAAGGTTTCACAATATAGATAGTGAAGAGTTAATTGGTATGTTTCGTGAATCTAAAGGAAGATTCCCTAATACAACAATTTTATATAATTCTTGAATGAAAAGGAATTAGTGAATGTAAAGGAAGATCCCCTAATGCAACAACTTGTTATATTTCTTGCAAAATAAGATGAAAAAAGAATAGGACTATTTATTATCTTGATAGGTTAGATTACTAAGTAAGAAAATGTAATTAATGGTCCATTTTCACAGCACGTAAAGAAAGAAAGAGAAATCGCCTACAACATGGTTAGTGAAACTTAAATTTTATATTTTGTTCTAGATTACTTATTTAATTAGAGATAGTATTATTTTTAAAAAAGGAATTATTTTTGTTAATAGTACGTGTTAAACAACCACCACCACATCCACCCCTAACCCAAAGATCTCATCTTTGGGTTAGGGGTGGATGTGGTGGTGGTTAGGGGTAGACACATCTCATATATGGTGGTGAGCTGGGATCAAAATATTGGAACTTCTGTTTGATAAAAAAAACAATTTTCAGTATTAAAATACTTTTTTATGATAAAATATTCAATTTTTTGGTGGTAAAAGTCATAGTTCGGGGCCCCCTCTAGCTGTCCACTCACGCCCTTTGGTTAGATGCTACTATAAAATTGTAGCCCACTCTTACATTTTTCTTTTGATACCAAATTATAGAAATTTCAACAAGAATTTGCATAGTTATAACAATTTTCGATACAAAAAAAATTATTTTGACCACAGTTTCTTTAACAATTTCATATATTCAAAAATTGTCACTAAAAACCTTATAACTTTTTTTTGAATTGTTCAATTTTGACAATTTTTTCACCGTTGAAATACTGTATTAATGCTC